TTTTTTTTTTTTTTTTTTTCCAAGGCTCAAAAAGAGATTGAGTCCCTGGTTAACCAGGAGGACCACTTAGTAGAAAGAAGAGCGAGGCTGCAATTTAAGAGACAGCGTTACCTACAGACACTTTCACTATTGTGTGGTAAGGCAGTCCTTCAGACAGTGGAATAATTTTTTTCTTGCACAAGTTGTTATAACAAATCAGCAACTTCGTATTTGTGATGTATTCTTATATTAAATTATATAATGTTAATGCATGAACATCTGTGTTTTGCTAACAAACATTGTATCTGTTTTTGTCCACAGAGAAGAGTACAGAGTCCATCAGGCAGAAGCTTAATGAAATTATTGCTAAACAAAAATCCCTGGAAGCCCAGTCTAATGCAAAAGAGATGAAGTCCCAGCTGAACCAGGCAATGCCCAAATCTAAACCCAAACGTAAACTAGCTGATCTTGGAAGTAAACAGAAAGGTTTAGCATACCAGAACAAATTGAAAGATGTTCCCAAACCTACCTATTCTCCTTCCAAACCAATGGACTTGAGTATTAAAAAACAAAAAAGCCTGGAACAGACTGAAAGTGTTTCCAAATCCGCACCAGCCTCGCCTGCAAACCTCGATGCTAGCAAAAACTCTCTTAAAACTCAGGATAAAGAGAAAGGTAGCACGTCTAAACCTTCTCAGCCATCCTTTAACTCCAGTCCACAAAAGAAACCTGTCTCTGTCCCAAGTCCTGTAAAACATTCCCCAATACCACGTGAGAGAACGCGTCCAAACATTCTCTCCCGTGCTACATCCCAGATGATACAAGGATCTCCAGCCAACGAGCCTCTTTTTACTAATGGTTAGTCAGAGAAGAAAACATTTACCTACATGTGCCATGTTGACTTGACTTGGATGGAACTGGTTTTTGGATGTTCACACTTTTCGATGTCTCTTGTGTTTTGTTTAGTGTGTATACCTCAAGTATTCCCTCTGATGAATACCATGGTTCCATGCAACCAAATCATAACCATAAACAACCCACTTCAACCGATTGGCATCACCTCTGTAGGGACACAGCAATCATCCACACCAGGTTTGTCTCTGAACAGGTTAATGATGCTTTTAAAAATGTCATGGCTATAATAAGTGATATGATAAGCATTTTGTGTTCGTCTTTTCTTTTTTTTTACTAGGTGTTGCATCTGTGTCCATAGTTCCTGCAGTATCGCACTCGGTTGGAGTGAAAAATCCCCTTTCATTGTTGCAGTCTCAGTTTATTAAAATTACAAACAGTCCTGTTAATATTAACACACAAGGTGAGTTACCTTGGCTGGTATAGTCATATATTGATTGAATCAGATTATTTATTAAGTTGACTACATTTTTCAGTATGGAAGCCCGTTTCCGCAACTGAATAAAATTTTTTAAAGGTAATTGTGGCTTTTATCTCACAATTCGGACTTTTCTTTCTCAGAATTACATGATGTAAACTCGCAAGTGCACAAAAGTCAGAATTGTGTGATATAAACTTCCAGTTGCGAGTTACAAAGTCAGACCTGCGTGATATAAATTGCAAATCTGAGAAATAAAGTCACAATTCTGAGAAATAAAGTGAGAATTGTGAGATATAAACTCGCAATTATGACTTTTTTTCTTAGAATTGCAAGTTTAAATCTTGAAATTCTGACTTTATAACACACAATTGCGAGTTATAAAATCAGAATTGTGAGGGAAATTCGCAATTGTCAGAAAATAGTATTTTTTCCCCTCAGAATTGGACTTTATAACTTCTTGTTGCCATTTAAGAAAGTATTTTTATTTTATGTTTATTATTTGTTTGTGTTTTGTTTAGTTCATTTGTTAATTAAGAACGAAAATTGCAAACGTCATAAGGGCGTGGTAAATCGGACGGCAGTACGCTGGAGGAAAGGAAGTGGGTCAGACATATTTTTTTAACCACTTCGTACGTTTTTGTTTGTAGAATCCTTTTTTTGGAACAAGTTTCGTTTGGTATAATTTGTATCTTCATTTTAATATGTTTTTTGTTGGTCAATATAAATAAATAATTTTACAAATAAACAAGGAGGAATAAATGTTTCCTGGAATGAAGTGTGTTCAAGACAAAGCCCGCTACCATGCTTCCGCGGCCAAAACAGAACTTGCAATGTGAGTTTATATCTCACAGCTGTAAGAAAATAAGTCAGAATTGCGAGAGGTCAGAATTGAGATAAACTCAATTATGAGGTAAAATAATTTCTCAATTGCGAGATATCAACTTGCAATTCTGACTTTATTCTCGTAATAGAATTTATTTCTCGTTCTGACTTTATTTCTCAGAATTGTGACT